AAAAAATGTTATTGACAAACTCCACTCAAAGATAGCCGCTAAGCTAGCAACACCTGTGGTGCAGGCGCCTTTTAAAATGGTAATAAACTCATTTAACGTAAGTGTTACATTGCTAATGAATTTTAAAAGGTATTTATGTGCATGACACAAAGTCGTAAATATTAAACAATTGATATCTTAATTACTAAATACAATTGACTTATGTTAAACATAATATCGTAATCATAAATTAAAATCCACTATATTTTCTATTGATTACCAAAGATAGACGTAGTAACACTTAGGTAATATTATCGGCAGGCGGCCGCCGCTTGGCAATATATCTGTAAAATACTATTGAATCATTTGAAATAAATTGTAAAGTTAAAGTAAGGCAACACTAATAGAATAGCAATGAATCGAAAGTTTTTGTTCTGTCCGCATATTGCAACTGTTATCACTGACCTCCATTTAATTTAAAACTTTGCACCGCTATAAAATTTATCTAACAACTTGATATCCGAGCTGCATTTTCATTTTTTCTTTGAAACGTATTGCAGCTTCCAATATAAATTCCAACTGACGGAAACTTTTCACAATGAAACTTTTATTTTAATGCATTTCAAGGATATTTTAACCCGCTTTTATTACCTTCTCTCTATCTTTGTAAATAATAAAATACTTCATACATTCCATAAAGGAGTTGTGTTTCTTAAAGTGCGTATAAAAAAATATTGACATATATACGTAGGCACAGACCTACGTCATATCAATGTCCACCTAAGCCAAATTTATTTTAGAGCAGCACTTAAAATATCTTTTAAATGTAAAGAAAATGTCGTGAAGTCCTGTAAAAGCATTTCGTCAGACGTGTTGTTTACTGATGTACTTACAACGTTTGAAAGAACTACCAAAGTTAGGTTAGGTTAGTGCTGCTAATAGTTACACAGTATTATTTCATCGTTTTGAAAATAAATTTGTTCTGCTACATATAAAAGTCGTGAAATAGCCTTTGAGAATATGTCGTACAGAATAACTATCTACAGTCCTCAGATTTGTTGAAAATTTAAATGGTAATCACCTGTAATAAATTTAAGAGAAATAGGACATAAAAGGTCCAATCTTATTAAATGTAATACAAAAGGGAATCCGAATAACTTCGACGCTATTAATCTCTTTTATTTCGCTAAGCGATTTTACACTTTGATTATCCTTAATGGTACTTAAGCGCAAACTGTCTCATTAAAAACAAATTAACTTAGCCCTAACTTAGGCAGAGGCTCGTTCTCGACCCGATCCCTAGCTAGCATTATGATTGTGTTAAATTATTGTACGCCCACTTACAATTACATCTAAGACTACGATTCATAAATACATTGTCTTTAAATTGAAAATTCGCCTTCCTCAGTTTGGATTTAGAATCCTTAATTTTATTATTTGTTACCATCTTTATCTATGTTGAGAAATAAAAAACTGACGATACTTTATCCGTTAGCAGATATTCAACCCATTGTTATTTAGGTCAATGAATTAGCAACTCTCTATTGTAAAATCCTTTACCGCCAATGGTAATATAGTAAACGTAAAGTTTCTGAGATATACCAATTGTGTATAGTATTTAATATTTATTTCGTCATAAGCTCGTTTGCTATACTTCTAAATATATAATATTTGAATGACAGTGAAATACTTGTTCTTTCAGTTTCGTCGACATAACGATTAAAAAGTGCTCAACTCTTTCGTTCAATTTTCTCTTAAAATAATTTTGATTGTTCGATACAAAGTTTTATTTGTTTGTGTTGAGCATCGCTTTAGCAGGTCGTTTATTACGTGCGAGCAATAGTTGAGGCGACGGCAATAGTTTGCTAATGTTGTTAGTCACTTACCGACGACTTTGTCTCCACTTCAAACTTGTTCAAATGTTTTCGGCAAGGGTCCCTGTAACTCTGTTGTCAAAGTAACGTACTACCACCGTTCCTCAAATAGTTTGAACATGTTTTACAGTTTGTGAAACAGACCGTTGACAATGTTAACAACACGGATACCATTTAGTAGTTAACAAACTTATTGTTCTCTAACTTAAAATAGTCGATAGTTTTCAGTCAAGACGTATATTTATTTGACTAATTCATCACATTTGATATTTTACCAATCTATCTATTAAATAAAACGCATATATCTATGAAGGTGCTAAACTAAAAACAACATCAAAATGCATTGAGATTTCAAATTAAAAATTTAAGAAAAATTAGTATCAAATATGACATTCAAGAATAAAAATACGAATGGAATGTCGCCTCGAGCTTCATATTGAAACTTACATACATACACCCCGGCATACGTACAATTTATTATACATAGGAACAAAAAACGTTACCCTCCTGAGTGCGTTGGTAAGAGTTGGTAAGAGTCTTGCAAGAGATATCTGCAATAATCTCTGCATTAAACGTTTACATTTAGTCATCAACACATCCTGAACTTGTCATATTTGTTGAGACTAGTTTGTTGCGACAAATTAAATTACGCATCACACGTTGTCAACGTGAGGCAATATAAAGGAAGCATCGCTACTTCTTATACCTAAACTGTATTTTATTTATTTATTCTTTATTTGTGTCATTTAAAACAAAATCATTTAAGATAATACAATCGAGTATTTATTTAATTTATTTATAATAAAACAAATAAGTAATGGCCTCCACCGGACATCTGCATCAACGACCACAAAGTGGTGTTACACGATAGTTCACTAATGCTGTTGACAAGTTGTTTGACTTTGTTTTGACTTCGAACTTCGGTGGGATGTTTTCGGAACGGATTTCAGCAAGTTTGCCAACAGGAGTGCTGTGTCAAAGTGAAATTTCGCCAAATAGTTGCGACATTATTTCAAGTTGGCCACACAGGTGGGCTCTCGTCGCCACTTAGTGTAAAGCCTTTGATTGTTTCAACTATTTCTGCAGGTGTATCTAATGCGAAGTTAGGTGAAACTTTGTCATTTATCATTTCTGTCCTTAATGCTTAAAATGACTTTGTTATTCAAAAGCTGAGTTAGTTAATTGATTATGTGCTTATTGCTGTCATTATACATTAGTCTGAATGAAAATCAAATTTATTTGAATTTCTGAAGTTCAAAATCTTAAATTCCTTCTAGAATACACCTCACTGTAGCTCTCAGAATTATTTACTGTTCTAAGGGAAACGTTAGCGTAGATTTCTTAGAATGAATCCAAGGAAGAACCCGTTAACCACTATGAATATTGCAGTTAAATTAAAAAGATGATAAAAAATAAAGTAAATTAATAAAAGTAAAACACGTGAAAAGTATTGCGATGTTTCACAAAAGTCTGGTTTTCTCGACAGCCATTACAATATTTTCCACTTATTTGATGTCATCTCTGGCGTTGTTTTAGCGCTTGCAATAAACTCCATAGTCAGTTTATTGCAGTGAAATGCATTTCTTACTTACCTGGTAACACCGACAATAACAGACATTGTTTGCCAAATACTTACCTTCATCATAATGTTATTATAACTAAATAAGATTACAAATGTTTGTGTTGCTTTTGTAAACAGCCTCAGCGAATGTCGTTATTAAAGGTTAAAAATGTGACACTCACTAAACGTTAACTGATAAAATAATCAAATAGGAAGTTTGAAAAATGACACTTTCTTTATTAAGTACTACGTGAATTTAAAAGAAAAAGTTTTTAATGTCATACATTTAAGTATTTTGAATTATTTTAAAAATTATTTGACCTTAGTTTTTATCTTAATGCTTTTTACTTATTACCTTAACAGATGGCGTTACTTTACTATTATTTTGAAATCATTATTGAGGGTAGGTAAAGAAACTTTTACACAATGATTAAATTGTTGCAATACACGACGTGACTGCATTGTTTAAATTAAAACGACTTGCGAATTAAAATAAAATATTAAAAGTTGCAGCCAGATGACGCAGCCGGACATTAACAAATGCAATTGTGGCTGGCATTCTCAATTCTATCTGACGGACTTCACCGCTTTACTTGACGCAACAGTTAATCAATAAAGTATCGAGAAGTCAAGTGATGTAACACACAACATATCGACACAACTAATTTTATCAATATCACCTCATTGCAACATCTATTTACTGGTGGGCAACATGCGTTTTGAAGTCGCGAGACTGGCAACATGCTCGAGAAGAAGCGCGCGTAAACATATAATTTTCCTTACTAACAAAGCAGACGTTTCAAAATCCGTATGCAACTTTAATGTCCAAATCCAATAATGTCCAATTAACAACTATCGATAATTTCTATGCAATACAGCACTGATTCATATCATAAGTTGATCACGTAAAAGATAAAAAAAACAGAAAAAAATAGATGTTATGCAATTATCTAGATAATTGGTTGTGTTAGTCACCCGGCGCTGCGCGGCGACGGCAGGAGGCGGTGTACACTGATTGCACAGAGGTGATATGTTTTATGATTTCAGATGAGGCTTCGCAAATATACATATTGTGTACACCAGACACTGCTGCTGCTTACTGTTGTAAAAATGTTCAAACTTTCATAAAGTATACAGGGTGTCCCAAAAGGTTACGTACATAGGAAGGGGGATGATAGGGGTGGCCACAAGGGTCACCAGAAAAATAAAATAAAAATTCCGCTCTGGGTATTAAAAAAAATAAATGGCATTTTTTTTTAAACTTTAAAATTGTACACCTTCTGGGGCAATTTTGTAACCGATGACCTACAAATATTGCTATATTAAAAAAAAGCTATTATGTTATCGTCAATAACCAATAGTCAATAATCAATATGAAATAAAAAAAAAACAATACAACTAACAAAGATTTTAAAGAAAATTAAAATTGCCCCAGAAGGTGTAAAATATTTATTATTATATGTATTAGAAAAAAAGTTTTTTAAAAGAACATATAGCAATTAAGAAATCTCAGTGTGTTTTAAGATAAATACGTCAATCTCGCAGTTGTATTTGGTGTAAACCGCAGCGTGCTCTGTCCACATCGCGCTTACACATCTTAAACTAATTTGCTCTCCCACGCCGCGCGAAGATAACACGCCTATCTAAAAACAACACAAACAAAGGACGCGGCGCCCGGGAGCTGCAAATATGAATAAATGGCGCGCTGGAAGGTAGGTCAAGAAACTCGAGCCGGCACAGCCGAGCGAAGCGCGCCTCCGCACTTCTTGTGCAACCTCGCCCCACAGCGAATTAGTTTAACTATCACCAATGTTCACGGCCGCTTTTTTCTAACAGCTTTTAGAAAATTCGCGATAATAAGCATCGGGGTAGCGATTTGAAGCGAGTTAACAACGCTTTCGCAGCGGCGTCAGTCGCCGGTCGCAGTCCGGCCGCAGTCCGGCCGCAGTCGCGCGCTCCACGCCGACGTTTGCACACCGCACGCGCAAAAACCGATACCGTAACACTTTGGCAACGGATCCTTTACAATCGAGTTAGTCAACGCGGTGAAAGGCCGTCCGCTAGTATAAAATAAAAAAAGAAAATCCAATTGGACACAGTGAGCGCAAAATGAGATCAGCGCTGATCCTCCTGCTGGCCCTAGCGGCGGCCGCCGTCGCCGAGTTCGGGGAGGAGCCCTGGGTGGAAGAGGAGGAGCTCGACGAGCCCTACAACGAAGAGGACTACCGGCACGAGCGTAAGACACGTGCCGCCGACGAGGAGGAGGAGACCGTGCCCGATTGCCACAAGCGCGTGCGCCGTGACGCCGCCGCAGAGCCGGGGCGCGGCAGGCGGCCACGGCGTGTGCACCAGTACGAGGTGCACGAGTACCACGAGGAGGGCGCACGGCCCGCGGCGCCCTACGAGGAGATGCTGGCGGCGAGCGCCGACCACTACCACAGGGCGTACGCTGCGCCATCCCAACTCGACGACAATGTGAGTCGCAGATCCGGTGCGCCGGGTGCCCATGTGCCGTCTCTCAATCCCGCTCAGTTCGCGGCCGCGCCGGCCGCACTAGCTTCCTTCCAAAAGACTCCCTTAAATGTTGCTAACCCCGCACACGTGGCTAACTTCGCTTCGGAGTCGGGTCCGGGTCCGGTAGCACTCGCGGCGGCGAGCGGGCTAGCACCTGTTGCGGGTGCTGGCGGACCGGCTCCGCGTCGCCTAGCAGACGACCAGCTGAGCGCGGCGGGTGCGGCAGGCCACCGCCAGCAGCTACGTGACGATGGCTGGATCGCGCAGGGCGGCGGACACGCCAACAAGGGACACCACTATAACGAGCGCGGCGGAAAGGTGAGCGCTAAAGCCAAAGTAGACACATTCTCTTGTTAGATAGGAGAAACAAAACCCTAGTCGATAACTTGTTAGCAATAGTTTGTATGTATGATAACGTTAGAAGAAAAAATACTATTTATCTTTCGGTGATCTATTATTGTACAGGTAAGGTGTGACAACATTGTCAATCTTATTAATTCAAATAAAGTTGTTGCACTTTACAAACATTGAGGAGGCAATGTTAATGTTTGTGAAACAAACATAGCAGCTTCCACAAAGCAATGAATAAAACGTATTGTGCAAATACTTAGGACAAAAAGTCTTCTACGTGTCGCTCGCTCCATTGAACATCGAGAGCGACGGAGCCCCTTTCCTCTCTCCATCGATTTATAAACAAAATTTGACACGCTTTAGCATTTTTTAATTATCAGTAAATGTGGATCCTATTGAAATATTATTATTACTTCACCGCGTTGTCTTAAATTAATGAAATATAAACTACAACTATAAATTGATCTTAATTATTTTTACTTGACATGATGAGAAACTGACATTTTAAATAAAAACAAAACTCTGCGGTGTTCATCAGTCGAGGTTGCAGTCGAATAATCCCAATTAAATATTTTAGAATATATTTAAATGCATTAATCCCTTAGATGATAAATTATTACACTAATTAAATTGTTAAACTGAAAACAATACTTTTTGTATTCAGGAAAAGGCCCAGTACTAGTGATGTGTTACATACAGATATGAAACACTGGACTGATTACTAATTATTAATAAATAAAGTTCATGTTCACTTATGTAATTACGAAACTCATCTCTGTTTTGTTATTACAATAGCTACTAACTAGCTTTTGCCTGTTAATTTATGACCGTAAACTAAATTAGATGCCGAAGTGTAGTCAATAATGTTTAGTGTGTAAAGTATAATACAGATAGTGCTTGTTGCTAAAATATTAACAGGAAGTTTACTGATGAAACAATAGCTCGAACACAAACTGAACACATTCACTGTTTTAGGTTTTTCAACAAAAAATTCAAACAATTGAAAGTTTACAAAATGTAACACAGACAGTGTCATCCGGCTAACAGACTAAACATTGTTTTATGATTTACATATTTTATGATTCACGTCATTTACAAGTTCAAATAAATTATATTTTAATTGATTGCACGTTTCAGTTTTTCAGTTCCATGTATGTTCATAAAGTAAGTGATAGCATTCTTAATGTCGTGGTTATGGTATATGTATGTTATATTCGTGTATGTATTGATAAATGTCCCAATGTGTATGTGTGTGTGTGTCTATGTGTGTGTGTGTGTGTGTGAATGTATTAATTGTCCGTCCTTGTTTATCTATATTTATAAGTAGTTAAGAATAATAATCAAAAACTGTTAACACAAAAATAATATTCGACAATTCCAACTTATTGTTCAATTGCATTGCGCAGTTCTTTATAACGAAAATGAAAGTAATCGATATAACCAAAGTAATGTGTAGTAGCAGTTAATATGTAACAAGAAGTTACAAGATGTAACATAATTAAATCGTATTCACAGGCAAGCAAGGGATTCGATTCCGACCACTACGTAGACAAAGGTGCGAAGGGTTTCAAAAAGGACGAGAAGCACCGCAAGGAGTACGAGGAGGCTGCGGGCAAGAAAAGCAAGCACCACGACCGCGCGGCGCACTCCGGCGACCATGAGGAGGAGGCCTTCGGACACCGGGGATCCAACTTTGCCGAGAAGAAGGGCCACAAGAAAGGCCACAAAACTAAGGGTAACTAAGTATTATAGTATGTATTTTACAACCGTTACAGTAAGCTTTTAAGATTGTAACATTAAAATACGTAGGTATTTGCCAGAATAAAAGTCCAAGCATGTCTTCTAACTGCAGGAGATAAATAGTGGATAAACTTTCAAACTCGCTTTGAAAAAATTACTTTCAAAAAAGTCGATTTCATCAATGGTATGAAGATGGTTGTTGTATGTTTGTATGTATGGTAAACTATATATTCTTATAGACTAGACACTTTGTATGCGATCTTAAAGCAACAAGATGTCGTATACAAACACGTGTCACTGATGATCAACAAGTATGTAAATAGAAATAGTACAAATAAGACAAGTGTTCCACGCTCGCTGCATTATTTCCATACTTTGGAGACGACTTTCGACATTTATGATGATGTCAATATCGCCTATTTATATATTTACGAAATATTTATCTATACCAACTAGAGAACTCTCTCACTAGAGAACTAGTTCCTAACAATTTAATATGATGACGTCCAATCAATTCAACAAAAGATATTACATAAACACAAATCCTACGGCGGCGTTATTACAGTTCTAACAGATTGTCTGCAAACGGTTTGCGGCTCCTAGCTTTGCAAATGAGCTCTTAATAACCTTTTCCACGAATAACTTGGAATTACACGGTCATTATACGAGGAAATGTAACCGCGGTCAGTGAAAGCGGACTGTTTCTTACGTAATATTGTTTTTTTCATCGCATTTCAATGACCCCGGCCGCGGCTACAGCTTCGGGCGGTAATGCGATCACTTGTTTTTCGTCGCAGACATTGTTTATTAGTACCGCACTAATAACTTCAATGGAAATTATAAACAAAAATTGATTTTTTCTTCAATTAAATAGTTATAATCATGTTAAATTTGATTTTAATGTCTAATGCGATCATTTTTTAAGTTTTAAGTATTACATGCGGATCCTATAATTCTAAAATGTCAATTCTTTGGAGTCCATAACAAATCTTTTAGAAAAATTTAGAAATAATGCCTATTACTTTTTTGTTTAATTTTTTAAGCATCGAAATACGCAAAGGAAGTCGAATGTTATGATGTTAAAGGTCGTCGACTATTGTTTTAATAATGGATGACAAAAAAATTTACCACGTATTCAAGAAGAATCTCAAGTAAATTTTAAGGAAACAAAAACAATTTGTTCATTAACAACTAGTTACAATGGAAAAGTCTGATGAGAGACGCAAACCGCGCAATGCACACAAAATAAACTGATGATGATACAATGTCATATACATATGACAGAGCTTAGCATAATAAACTTAATTTGCTTGTATGTGTGTGCGTTAGGTTTCCACAACAAGTACCACAAGGACGAGTTCAAGAAGGAACACAAGTTCTACGACGACTTCCACAAGAGCGGCGAGCACCACCGTTTCGGCAAGTTCAACGCCAAGCACGCCTCAAATGAGAGCGGCAAGAAGCGCGCGCATCACCTCAATGCAGGACATGACTTCCTCGAGCACGGAAAGAAGGGATACAGGTACACGAGACAATGTTCATTCAAAGAGTACACTAGTAGTTTTACACACTTACAATTAGCTTGATTTATGATAACAAATGAATACACGATCATTATTTGACTTCAAGAACTGGCTAAATGTACTATCACCTAGCCAAGGTCAAAAGTACAGAAACGCATTGTACATATATTGTATTGGCATGTACATTATGCAACATGTCACTGTGTCTCAACTTGGCTCCGTTCATTGCACATGTTAACTTCCATATATTAATGTATAGCATGAATACACTGACTCAATATATCACATCGGACCGATACTGAAGCCAATGTTAGTCGCATCCCATCAGGTGTTAACTAGAAATTAATTGTCAATTAATGTGTGTACAGCAACAAGGGGCACATCGACGCTGACCACAAGGGCTACAACGGCAAGAACGGTCACGAGGAACACCACGAGAACCATTCGCAGTACGGCAAGAAGGGGGGCCGCGGCGGGGGCAGGAGCTGGGGACACGACGCAAAAAACTAACCGCGCAACAACACAGCCTCGTCAGGAACATCCTTGGATGAAACCTCATATACATACAACATGGTGTTATATCATACATGTTTTGACTGTGAGAATTTGTTATATTGTTGGGGCCAAATATATCTTATAGATGTAATCAAGATAATGAAGTTATATATAACTTGATTGAATTTAAGTTTATGTGATGTAGATTCATGAATATTTTTATAACTGGTATTTAAATTATGTGTAGTTGTTAGTTATAGACATAGAAAATATATACCTCTTTTAATATTTATCAGTTCTCAAGTTAAACTTATTTAACAGAATAGTTATAATTTTCACAATGCTCTAACATTGTGAAATTATACGAAATTTTTGTAATACCGAAATTCAATTGAAATTGATTACCTATTTAAATAAATCAATTTCGTTTAATTAATTTTTAATAGTATCAAAAAAAATTGTTTATAGCTTATGGGAAATCGCACAAAATCTAGTAATGTGTTACCTAAACAAAACCTCCAAATAATTATTGACTTCTTTTCTGCCGACACATTTATTTCCGCATGATGATAATTAATAGTGCCCATTATTGCAATGATTATGATTTATTTACCTATAGATATTTTGATGTTTTATATAAGCCCGGAGCGAACAAGCCATAAAATGTATTAATGGAATTAGATGTATACAAGATTTTAAGACTTTGTATCATTTTGTAACTTGTAAATAAAAACATAAAGAAATGTTTTGTTATTTTATTAGGATCGAATCCCAATTACATATCGTCGTTTGAAACCTTAAGTTTTGTCTATCAAATTAAAGACAAAAGTTCACGCTCTGTAATATTTGATTGTGTAAACAGTTTTCATTGAATAAATAATGTCAAAACACAGAATAGGAAGCGTATGGACAGATCACAGATAAGGTGGTTTGCAAGGCAGCGGCTTGGGCTTGGTTGGGTCGAAGAACTTGGAGTATACGGCGACGCTGAGGTGCGGCCGTCGCGGAAAGAACACCTGGTGGCCTGTGCGGTCCACGTAGTCGTCATAGTCCATTGACCACTCGCGCTTCATGCCACACTTCTCGCAGATCTTCGCACTGGAAACACGTCCCAAAACATTTAGCAAAGCTCCTATATTGTACACTTCAAAAATATAAGCAAAGTGAAATAGTTTCGCATACGCGTAGTGGCTGACCGCGATGACCTGTGCGAGAGGGTAGCCGAGATCGTCGGCGTGTGCCAGCGTCACGTCCAGCAACCGCTTACCCACGCCGCGCGCAGCTACTGACGCGTCCGTGCAGAGTACCTCCACCTGCAATGAGCTCCTACCTAGCACTTTTCATACATACAGTTTGACAGAATTTGACACATCAAGACAACTGCATAATGAGACGTAATTACTAAGTATAGAATAAATCTATTACAATTGTATATTTATACACATTTGATGAAAGCATAAATACAACTACAACCCTACAACCAAAACAAAACAGTATTATTTACTTACGTCATAAATGTATTCTAGGTTGTACTTCCTGATGAGGTCGGCGTTCTTGATGCAGTGAGCTATGAAGTACATGCGGGTGCGGTCGGGCTTGCAGTAGGTAAAATTGGCCCATTCCTCCAGCTCAGCCACCATCCACGGGAACAGCTTATTAGCCACGCACACACCGATCAGCCGCGACTCGCGAGTGCGATCCAGTTGCTCGAACGCCAAAAAGCGATCACCTAATATAAATCTTTTGAAATTTTTCGAATCGAGGTCAGAGTGTTGTAGAGAGAATGAAATTAATATTTACCAGAATTGGAGTATTTGTCAGTGAGGATGTCGAGGTAGGGGCTGTCGGAGGACATCCAGAGGCCGACTACGCTGGGCTCGCGCGGCCAGCAGTGCGTGTACAGGAACAGGCGGATCATGTTCGAGTGGCACTGGTTCGCGCGCTCCACTCGCACATTCGTCATATCGAAACACTGGACAATATGACGAACACAAACTTGTAGTCACAGAGATGTTCAATTACCTTACTTAACAAAAGTCAAAAATATATCTAAATAAAAGAAGACAAAATATCAAGGCCTCAAAAAGTGGAAAGATGGTCAGACTAGGTTGTGAGAGCCCATAGTATAGGATTGTGAGTAGGTTAATTCAAAGGAATCAAGAAAAAGAGGTAGATATCAACGTCCAGCAGCAACGAAGTGCGGGAAAATTTAAAACAATGGAAATAATACCGGTTTTTTGTCGGGTGTGACGTCGCAGGGCGAGGGCGGCCTGAACCTGGCGACGGCCATGTTGCTGGCCGGCGGCGGCATCACGGCTGCATTAAGGGCGCTGCACGTCAGGGCGCCTAAGCGATATGCTCTCAAACAATACATACTTATGTTACTTTACTTTAGATTCTTGTACATTTTTTATTTGATTTTATAATATTGAAATTTCGGGCGATGAAGGGAGGTTGTAAGATGAAATATGTCACAATGATATAAATCTTGGCTATAACAACTATAGATGAAACAAAGTAATGAAATCAATTATCACCAAATATTAAAAATATTCTTACAAAGTGATTGTACTGAGATCGAAGCCGTTAAATTAATTTCTACAATTAATACAATCTGATATTTTTATATTAAGTAAATAATGGCTAGCTGGATGAAAATATTTTATTTCAGTATTATAAACAAACAATAAAATAGATTGTCAAAATGATTCAAATGACATAAGAAAATAAAATTATATTTAACAATCTAGAATACAAAAACATTCCACAAATATGCTGGTAATGATGAAACCTTCACAATGAAAAGATCACACTGAGCCCCGCCTCAGCGACTACCCGAAACTAGAAATACACCCGCCATGTCCCACACGATCCGCCACGTTACCCTGGCGGTGACGCGAGCCTGCCTCAAGATACCGGGCACCAGCCACCTTTTCAAAACACTCACCAGAAGCTTTGCAGATATTGCTAAGAAGGATTCACCTTCCAACGTTGCGGTGAGAATTAAAATTATATGTAGTATAAACATTAACAAACTGCAAGGACTCGCTGCGCTGACTTAAAAATTATTCGTCGAGTTTTTGAGCTATTAAACAGGGCACGGCTGTCCGGTGAGATACGAGCGAGGCATTCGTCTAGCATTTGTAAGTAGTTCTACATTTGGTGTATTTTGTTACTCTAGAAGCTGAAGGTTACTGACAAACTTTATTTTCTGGGTAAATATCGGTCGGTCGTTTCTTCTTTATAGATAGTTTAATGATAATTTGTGTGTAGGTGCGGAACACAAAGAGTGACATATGTTTGCGCGTGCGCCGTGCGCGGCCGGCGGACGTGCCCCGCGTGCTTGCCTTCATCCGCACCCACACGCGCAACGCATGGCCCACGCTTGGCGCGCCTTCCAATGCATCGCAGATCGTGCTCTCCGACTACGTCTCCCGATCCTTGGCTCAAGGTAACTCAATATTATTATGCCAGCAGAAATGACGAAGCTCGTGCGTTTGAAAGGAGAGGGCTCATTTTGCTAATTTATAGGCGGTATGTGCAGGCCATTCAATGATAGCGGAGCAGCAGGATACGAGCAACAAGTCGTGTCGTATCCGCGCGCTGGCGCTGGGCACGACCATGTGCAAGTGGGACGCGGGCGTTCTGGAGAAATGGGCGCGATGCGTGCAGTGCCCGCGCTCGCGCCAGCTACTCATGTTCACGGCGCACTGCCTGCGCGCGCCCGGACTGCACGACAAATATCACGTGCACAACATACTGCAGGTCGATTTGATTCTTACCCTCCCGCGAATTCACAACTTACCTACACCAGATAATATCACTTTTTCATTCCATCAATTACAAGTCCAAACTATAACATTTACCTAACAAAACCGTAATTAGAATGATCTGAAATAATTTGCTGCAATAAACTAATAAAAAGTTCAAAGTAACGAGAAATCTTTACAAGCAAGCTCCTTGGCCCTATTTTTTATTCGTTTTAAAGTCATTCAAATTAAGTATTTTTGTCAATTGTTACACAATATGTACTTATAACCAGATGTCTGATGTGAATAATGTTAGCTGATAGCAAAAGTCAATGTGTCAATGTGTTGACACAAGTTGTGATGTACTCGTAGTGCAATGAACAACGTCACACGATCGCTTATTTACACTTTATGACACAACGAGTGGTAGTCATTATGTTTTTCGTATGACACCACCCTTAGTGTGTCTCCCTCCCTCCCTACCTAAGATAGTATGTCTCCACAAATGTAGGTGATACTGATCGTGCCGGAGGACGTGTCTGCGCGCAGGGAGGTGATCAAGACGCTGGCCCGCAGTGCCATGCTGCGCGGCCGAGACGTCGGCTTCTCCCTAGTGCGCTTCGACGCCGGCAACGACGCTGTGTTAGTCTTATTTCATGTTGTGTTACATATAATGTTATTATTTCGAGTGGGAATAATAACGCAACATGTACTAAACAGAATCGAAGTGTTGGAAGAAATGAAGCTGCACAAGGAGTGGCGGATCGTGTATGACGTTTTCGGGGACGCTATCAAGGCGCGCCACGACTGCGACTTCTCCTCACCCACCGACCACAACCACCCCAGCAAGCTGAAGATGAACTACCCCCAGGTGGGGCACGGCCATGCGCTCACCGTCTATTCCGCCTTCACTGATACCCCCAAATAACATACTGTGGCCTTGCGTCGCCGTAATACTTGTATGAAAACAAATTGTTAACCTCTCATTTTATTTGAAAAACAGATACAATATATGTTTTATTACAAATGTTACGGCGGTGAAATTCACGGAAATTCACGGTGTAACTCGAAATTAACAAAAAAATATGAAAACAATAATAAAGCACTTTTAATTTAATTTTTGTATTTATTGTTCATAGAGATCAACTATTCCATTTATTTCCGTTTTATAAAATTGTTTGTTTTAAATTTAAGAATTTAGTTAAAATATTAGTTTTAGTAATTTCGTAATTTCTACAACAATTTCTAAATAGTGTTATCATGAATTGGTGTCAACTTTTTGTCCGGGCGGGCGAGCTGAAGGTTGTGTCGCCAGACTTCTTTAAAATTCATTTGTATTGAATCAATTCAACTGCATTCCAATTATCAAGGTTGCTGTCTGTCAAATTTAACAAATACTACTTCGAATTTAGGCTGCCAGTTTAAGAAAATAAATTTATTCTTTCATCTCTGCCTACCACACTAAATACTTATAGTAGTACAAATTATTTCGAACATGTTCTGTTTATCTCACGGTCGAATAATGTCGTGAGCTGACCATTAACTAAATTTTGATGCCGTGAAAAAGTAAGCAGATATTGATAGATTGAATATTCGTTGGTTAAATTGAATTAAAATAGTCTTCAAGAAGAAGAACAAGAACACTACTCTTTCCCGTAAACCAGAGGAGAAGGCTGAGATAGGCAAAGAAGATAAAGAGAAAGTAGTCGCAATCGTTAACCGTCCTTGAACTCTGCAATTTAAAAGAAATTGAATCGAATTACAGATTTTTATTAAGCTACGCGACAGATCAGTGGAGCGCGGCGTGAGCTGTGGGAAAAGATTTCACTGAACATTCGAGAAAAAAGTCTTGCGCGCAACATGGCGCCGTTTCCTTTTGCAAAGTATAGACATCTGGCCGTTGTGAAACATAACAGCGGTTGCAATGCACGTTATATAAAATAAACAGTTTGTATTGCAGATTTTATTGTATTGTACGACCAGGTGTAAGTCAACTTGTTTTTGTCCAAGAAATTACAAAGGTAAAAAAGAACTAAGAATATATAACATTTTAGTATGATAGTGCTTAAACAAAATCTTCAAATAATATTTTCTTCAATTTGATACAACACGATTAAATTAAATAATCAGATGAGAGATAACCAATCAATTTCTGGTCAAAGCAAAAACAAACAACCATCAAACATGTTTGAGTTAGTTAAAAATAAATAACGAAGGAATTAAACCTAAAATTCCAGATTTAATAAAAATGAAGGTACATCTGCTAGCGTTGGGATTCCTGCACATGGCGCTGGGTCTACCTGTGACACTGAACGACCTGCAGATGGCGGACGACACCATGTCAGTCGGCACATACGTTCGGGAAGTGCGTGCGGCATCGGTAAGAATTAACATTACTTAGCTCACTGTACACTTAAAATGTAACTAATCCGCTTATATTGATGTTTGTGATCTTCTTTTCAGCCTGATAACTATCACAAGTCGTATGAGAACGAAGGAGACGGTGAGATCGGGTACGCGCGCAAGAAGTCCGGCGGAGGCAAGAAGGGCTACCAGCACTTTGACTCGTTCCACAAGAAGGCGGGCGACCACTACGAGTTCGAGAAGGAGGACTCCTACGGCCTCGACAAGGAGGAGCAAGAGGGCGCCCACAGCCACCGCCAGGAGAAAGGTGAACTTAGATCCCGCCCACTTATCAGGAGACCGCAGAAACTTTTGAAAAGGTTCTTGAAATGGCTCTTCTAAGCGTTAACCCTTTTCAAAATTAGAATATAGATTATTCACAAAACTACCAGCCACATAGTGCCATGTTTATAAACGCTAAGCTGACAACAGGTAACTTTAATGCATAATCCTGTTAGTTGTTACAGTTTAACAAATATTTATCAATCAATTGTTAAGTATTTCTTAAATGTTCTGATTAAATTGAAATGAATACAATAAATTTCAATTATTACAAAAAGCACTTGTGTTTTCATTATTTTCTTCTAAATACAGAAGTGAATTTAAATCATTCTTTTTCAGCTGAAAAATATCGCGAACCAGAAGAAAAGAGAGATAATGAAGAAGCTGCCGAAGAATATGGAGAAGAGAAGCAGCACGAAGAACTAAAGTATGCATAGTTATGTAAAACTTATATGTCATAACATTTACAATATACATTACCATAATTACGATATATAGCCACAATATTTACAATAAGCTGTAATAACTATACAATTGTTTACTTGCAGGCTTGGTGGCAGCGACGGCAACGGAGGAGTTGAAGCCCACGGACATAACCCGGATGACTATAAACTGCCGGAAAAATATAGTTATGGCGCAGGAGAAGAATATGACTTCTAAAAACATATGTGATTAGATGAATAGGAAGAAAAAATTAAATCTTTTAGTGGGTAGCACTAGCGGCAGATTTTCTTCAGACACCTGTAAAAATTTTTATACGTTATTAGTGTTAAGAATTGTAAAGAATTAGATAAAGATATGAACTAGCTAAACGTTATGTCATTCTCGATTGTATGTACGGGTGGATGACCCGCAGTCCGCGACTCGCCATCATTCAACCAGACTATAAATATAATAGGTGTTGCATGATCGACAGTTACTGTGTATACATAGTTTACCTTTTTCAACTATATCTATACTAATATAATAAAGCGGAAGAGTTTGTTTGTTTAAGCGCGCTAATGTCAGGAACTACTGGTCTGATTTGAAAAATATTTTTTTTGTTCGATAGTCCAGTTATAGAGAAAGGCTGTAGGCTATATAACATTACGACCAATAGGAGCGAAGCGTCAGTGAATACTAATTGTTTTTTTAATACCGCGCAGACGGAGTCGCGGGCGACAGCTAGTAATGCATAACTGGTGACAGAGGCGCTGCTATCGCGGCAAGTTCTGTCACAAAATATAGCCTTGATATATGCACAGAAAATGCCATAAATAAATAGTCTTGAAATTAACAAAATGATTAAAACAATGGCAATTTTTAATAAATAAATAATTTTAAGCGGTCGTTTTATTTTTATTAAACTTTTCACATGGTCAAAAAGTGAAGAGTTCAAAAGCGTTTTATAAAAACAAAAGTCATATTAAATTTTACTTATATATCATAACGCTGGTACGTGAAAAGAAACGTGATGAACGTTTAGCACTGCATAACATTTTTTCTTAAAAAAACTTATTATGACTGAAAACTGATCTATATAAAAATTCTTGAATGTTTTGTGTAAACTTTGATTAATATATACATTATACATAAAAACATGAAATCGTACGAATTTATGGAAAGGTATCCTACGAATCAATTTGTTATTGAGGAGACAAAGTAGTATCAAAACGCAAACGTCGTTGAGTCCTGGTTTCTATGATATGGATAGGACATTTCTTGAAAACCACAGCTTTTTATTGATCAAACTTGAACGTATCTGTTAGGATTGTTGACACTTATATCGTTAAATTACCTATCTATATTATTATACCCTGGGACTAATGCGGACCTCACCATCGCTTCCACCCGCAGCCTTCAGCGACAAGATTGCGAACATCAAATAAACACAAAATACCACGCCTTGTAGCCTGTCCATTTTATAAAGTTCAGTGTCTTTGAGAGATGATAAACAACAGTTTGACATTGACAGCTACAAACGTCATGCTTGTTGCTGTTTTACTGTGAGATCGTCGCATCATTCGGTGCCCGGTAAATAGACAAAAACTGATAATCCCGTTATAATTTGTGATGTTAATTCGATAAACGATACGCTGCAAATATGGGATTAAGAATAACAGATAGTCTCATTATAATAATATATTCACTATGTATATGTACGGGTGAGTATCGAACAATTATTTAATTGAATCAATCAGTGTTCGTATTACAAAGTGTTCTTTTTAACAGAGTTCATCCTGTCGTGCAATGTGACCTCCCTCGAGCCGTGCCCGGGGGAATATCAGTTCTGTAACGAGACAACAAGTAGCTGCGAATGTTTGGAAGGATTTTATCAAGTCGGTGACGAATGCCAGACGCCGAGCTCGTACATGTCGAGTCACGACGTGACCGCCGCTGTCGTGAGTATATTCGCCATCGCACTGATCGTGTGCGGCCTCGTGCTGGTGGTGAGGAAGTACAATTTGATTGAATATGCCCGCCAGAAAATCAATTCCCAAAGGAATAATGATGTAATGTATGAAGACGTCATGATCGGTCAAGATGATCCACCTTTAAGCCCCTGAGACAAACAATGATTCATTATTTATTTGTATAGAATAATTAAGAAATGTTAAAATCAATCATTTGTAAGATAAGAGGAACGGAAGTGTAATTAATGTTCTTTGTTATAAATGTTATGAACATTCATTTGTTAATTGTATTCAAATAATTGTGGCTATTGACACAATTCAATTTAAATAAAGTTATTATAGTGCAGTTGATATGCTTATACAAAGGTTACCTTTGTTGTGTCTCTTATCATCTTTGTGAAGCTTAGCCAATACAACATTACTACATATATGTCAAACTACACTGACCTTTCTGTTAGGTTCCACTGTCAACACATACATACAAAACTATTTTCTAAACAAGCAGTGAAAACAGAGATTAAAAGATAAGAGAATAACCCTAATATCTTCCTTATTAGTTTGTAAGGAGGCTTTCCTAATTTTTTCCTTATTAAAAACATAGAGGCTAGTTGTGTTTCCGTAATATATCATGAGTTACCATAACATTGAAATGTTGCACAAAATATCAAATAAATTGATTTAGAAATTTGCTTAGGAATTACTAATTGATATTATATTTGCCTTATTGTTTTGTATAAAGGCAATTATATGTTTTAATTTTTAAGGTTTTGATGATGAATACCCGTGTGGTTCTCTTTCACTCTCTCAAAGGAATGAAAATAAAGGTTAAATTTTTGTTACACAAAATTGAAGACAATCTAGATGTAGTATGTTATTTTGTAGATGTATATACAACATATACTATTCAATTAAATAATAAATATGTATCCAGTAAAAGTTATTACAAAAGATGCAAAAAAATTGTATTGTCTATGGGGATTTTTGACTCACTTTGTACTAGTAAAAAGTAACACATATTATATTTTATGTTAGATATTTCAGGTGCAAAGGAGGTTAACAAATGTTTAGTCATTTAGTTTAAAGTTATTTTGTATGAAAGCATTGTTATGTTCAAATCTTTGTGTACGTTAAAGCCAAAGACTGTCAGCAATGCTTGTTTGAGTTCAACAAAATATTAGTTTTATTTTGTATTTCCCGATGGCAGCTACATGACAAATGTTATTTGAAGTTTGGTATAAGATAAATAAGCATGGGTCCACTGTGCATAGGCATATTGGAATTTTTCTCATACTCTGGAGAAACAGAGAAAAAAAAACATTTTTATAGAGTTGTTTGTATAGACATAGCCCGTAATTATAAAACAAAAGTTAAAATATTCCATTTCATTTATGACTCATGTGTGAATTTGTGTTTGTATGTGAGAAGTTCCACTGCTGACACATGTTTCGTAACATCTCTGGTTGTGTGCAACAAGTGTTTCTGTCGTGGTCGTCATGGTATTACTATAATAGAATGAAGGGATTAGAAGAAAGTAAACACACTCTTAGTATTTATACATTATTATTCTTCAAATATGTGGAAGTCATTTTGATATCTCCTATTAATTTAATTGTTGTTTTTATTTATAATAATCAGTGAAATCATAAACACATGCGAGGCTAAGTCCTATTTTTTAGAAAACTTTGTATCTTAATTTTTATGACATTTCTTGCCCTTTTATATGACTGTTTAATAACCACAGCAGTCTTAGGTAAAATGTAATTTTATAGAATAAAAAGAATTCATTTAAATTGATATGTAATGTAAATATACATTTTTATGTGGTCCTATTTGACCAACAGCTTGACAAATGTTTCGTGATCTGAATAACTTCAACATTATCATGTATTTGTGTGTAACAAAATTATGTATAATCATCAAAACAATCATTCTTAAATGGAATATATTTTGAAATAAATACTCTGTGATACATCTGTTGTATAATTGTTCAGGGCACGAGGCCCCTGAGGAAGGGTGTGCTGAAAAATGTGGTGAGGTACTTGGCGCAGTGGCTGACCACCATCACTGACACCGTCGCAGCTGCTGCCCTCTCGTACACTACTGTAAACATTACATTTATTATTCAATTAACAAAAAACACCTTGAATTCGTTAGTCTACTTTTAAAAGGCAGAAATAGAATTTTATAATTCCTTCATCCTTTCTCCTTCCAAATCCATTTCTCCACGCCATCTCTTTAGTAATTAGGAAAATGGTAGCAAAGGGAAGATAGCTAATACTAGATCTCCGGCGTGCACAATCATCAAACTAAGTGGAATGAATTTCATCTAACCTATATTGTGTGAATACCATACAGGAGACAAGGAGCATCAAGTTGGAATAATCCCGCATGCAGTCCGATCTCGTGTTTTTTTATCAGAAACTGTTGAATATTGTTGACTGACCAGTGAACACATTGTAGAAGACAACAAGCGTGTAGAGGAAGACGAGGGCGAAGTGCACGAGGCCTGCGTGTGCGGGCCCCGCGCTGCTCCACACCAGCGCCGGCAGCAGGAACACCACGCTCATGTTGCCCAGGGAGAATGCCTTCAGCAGTAGCTCGCACGACACTGCAAATATACCACCTCATTATTAGTGATCCATCCTGCTTGGTGGTCACAACACCACTTAACATTCGGTGGTACTGTGTGCAAGCATATTGTAAGTCTTTGTGCCCCTTCCTCATGGTGTGTTGGACTTGGATTAATTAGGAGTGACGGCCCATCTTGCCCAGACTTCTATAATCAGTGTTTAGTTAATTTATATTCATTCAAAACATACCTTCACATTTTGTAGCAAACAGCTGTATTAATTTCATTAATATATGAACTGTACTGATGAATATTATGATACCTGAAACAAAAACAAAAATATTTTTTTTATAACTTTCTTTAGACTTCATAATATAAAAACCAAAATGATTATTTTTCATAAATACTTAAACAAATTATAATTAGTTACCAGAAAATGTAGATATGAACTGCACATAGAAGTCTTTTTCCCATATAAACAGGTCAGTATCATCAGTGCGGCTGTCCTGCAGCCAGCCCTTGCAGTTGTGTCGCCACGTCTCCGGTAGTGATATGCTTATTGGTATGTGTCTGTAATAAGGCACATATTATGTTGTAAAAGTTCTGCTCCTTAGTTCTTTATAAGATTTTATGATATTTTGAGTATAAGTAATAGAATATAACTGTTTACATAATTTTGGCAGACAAACAGAATGAGATATAATATATAAAATTTGTACTGCTTTAGTTTAAGAGAAAATTCTTCACTTACATAGTAGTAGCATTTATTGCATAATTATTTCGAACATCACATAATGTGTTGACCGCTATTGAGAACAGGCAGTCACTGCGCCATACTGCATATGTCTCCAACATCATCAGGATTATGAACAGTTTCCAAAATGCCTGGAAATATACAAACAGTGTGTTTATAATTTATTATTATAAAAGTAAAGGTTCTGAAACACCTTTCTTGCTTTCTCTTTTCTCTCTTGAACATCACATATGAACACATATCTGTAGTTTAGGCTGATGTGTTCTAATATTTGTTTAAAATGACTTAAAAATACCTTAAACTTAGTGTTATATAGGATGTGCCTTTGAGCTTCTCTAGACATCAACACCAGGTCTATCATGACTATCACAGGATCATATTCGATGTACTTATCAACTATGCCTTTACAGCTAATCTGAAATTTAAAAATATATATTTTATTAAACCTCTTTATGACTATTAATTTTGCATGACTTTTGCACAAAAAACAGACGTAAATTTATACATGTCCCATGGTTGCAAAGTTCTATTTATAAGTTTAGCAATGTTTTAAATCAATAATTAACATGTAAGGAAATCATATTGAACTTGGATTAACTTACGCACACATTTAGTAAGTTTCAATACTGTCGGCCCGTACGTTTTATACAATGCGGAGCATGGCTCACCACAATTAACACATTTGTATTTTTTATTATTAGACATTTTTAACCTCATGTGCTTTCTATTCTTAAGAATATCGTGATTAAATTATTTTAAAACCGAATTATCTTGTTTGGTTTAAATTGACAATTTCCTTTCACATTGACAGTTAACATTTACACACGGCCATAGATATTCAGCAGTTCAGTGTTGGTATATTTTAACCACCATATATTCCTACATTTTAACCAGTCTTCAAATTATTCATATAAAACTAAAACATATATAGACCGCCAATTTATCTGGTGGGCATAAGTCAAAGTAATTACGACAGCTCACTAGCGCCCACTAACAATGTGTAAAAAGTGTCATCTGTTATACCTACCTGTTGTCCTCTTCGACTACTGATCTCTATAAATAGAGGTCAGTGTTGTCGACTTATAAATGTACATTAGACGCCTGGCTTACGTTTGTTGCCTACATAACGCGGAACCGACAGATGGCGCTATTTTAAATAACTAGCTTTTTCTAACGTGTACTCAATTTTATTATCAACCCCTATTACTATGACCTTGATAAAGTTATTAAGGCCTATAAAAATAAATATACCTATAAACATTAAAAATAACAAAATGCAGCAACAACAACATAATTAAGCTCTTAACCCAGAGGGATATGCAGAAACCACGGACCTCTATTTTGTGCGGTCCTGACAAACCTCTATAAAATACAACAAAATTAACTAAAAATAAAAACATTTATTATAAATAGCTTCGCCGAAGCAACCTTATTCTGCCACTGCCTGAAATAGATGAATATTATGTAGACAGACACAGTTCCATCTATGGTAACAAAAACAAGCTAATGAATTAAAAAAACATGATTGTATTTTCTACGCATAAAAACTTTCCAATAGTTTTTAGAAAAAAAAATATTTTTATAAGTGTTGATGAAAAGTGTGCATTCAACATTTACACTTTACACGGTGATAATAAAATTTTTGACCTGTACAAAAATTCGAGAGGTATAAATTTGGAAGCTGAAGTGTGCCAACAGAGAACGTATTTCGTTTCGCCTTTTCATTCGGTGCATACTTTCCCTGGAGCTCTATTTTTAAATCAAACATTTCATTCGCTGCATAATTCCCCGCAGATATTTGCACGGCGCGCTGAAATAAATACATTTGCGAGGGAAATTCCCGCGCTCGCGTTGAAACAAGCCAGCGCGAGGAAACAAGCTCATTGCCTTTGAACGCCGCTGTTTGAGAGCTCTCCCACTCTGTGCCAATATAAACATATTCAGATTATTCTTTTTAACGTATATTTTAATTTATTATGATAAAATTCATGTAAAAAATCATCGTTTGTATAGTTTTCTTCCCCTTCTAAGATTTAACAGGTGGTTTATATTGGAAAGCACTTAAAAGTTCTGTCTGACTGTTTCAAAGAGATTAGAGTTGTAAATGTGAGAACAACAGAGCGAGGTGTACCTATGTGTGAGGCTCTGGGGGCTATAAGTTCGCCATATCGGATCCTTAAGAGCCCGCTCACGTCATATTTCATGCGATGTGTCGTACTTTGTCACCAAGATTTATTTTATTGGTAACTTTATTGCGTTTCGTGATTTATAGTCGAGCGAGGATCTTTTGTGTTGCCCGTACTGGTTTACGGTTACAGGTGCAATTTGTTAACTTACAAATATATAGGAATAAAATAAGGGTACGTGACGATGAAAAATTACAATATTTACATTGATACGAATATTAGTAAAGTAAGACATTTATAAGATTAAATATATAAGACATTTTATTTATACTAAACAGAGCATGTGAGTACACAATTCATTTACACTCGGGCATCTTAAACCAGCCTGCTGGTGTAATGTCGCAAATAAAAATAAAACATTCCATAAATTTCCGTGTCCGCCGCCGCGCCGCTTGCAATAGACCGCTGTTAAATAAGAGCCGTCGTGTAACAAGCGTATGAATAAAACAACCGTCGGCGTCGGCGTCGGCGTCGGCGTCGGGAACACAACAATGCGTAAATCTGTCCTAAAGTAGTTTCGGCAACATATTTATTGCCCATCAGGCTGATGTACGTCTGCACAATTCTCGCCTTTACAATTATGTCAGAGATTAAAGTTTAGTAGTTCACTACAGCTACATATTATACAATAATAACAATTACTATTATCAACTAAATAAAAGAATATACTCGTAATACTTCCTTTATCATTCGTCAGCATGGATCAGTTCTATCGACGAATTTTATTTCTTTTTTCAATGACCAGCTTTCTGATATAAAATTAGTAATTATAGAATAAAGGTGAAACGTAATTTTGTAAAATGTATTACAAAATAAATCTAATTTAGGAAAACTCCGCAGGATACAAATTGATAAAACGTTATCTGAAAAGCGAAAAGGCCTCGAGAGCAGCGGAAATGTAATTTCCATTTGAATTACAACAATAACATCCCGCACATTGAGGCTGTACGTGAGCCCTCCGAGACCCCCTTCCGCACCCCCCGCACCCACCGCACTCCCCTGCACCCCCACCCCCGCCCCATTCGCACTTCTCACATAATTGGTTTTACCTTCTTCTGATTTAGCGAACACCGGTCAATTATCTTCCTTTACATCAAACTTGTACAATTGTTTTAAAAAAAAGGTATTTAGTGTATTTGAAATGAATGATAAAGTATATTTAATGTGTAATAATGTGTTGTGTTGAGTTTCATTCATAACTAATCGTGTACACAACACCAAAGAATAACAATTGAAATTTCCCTAAAGGAAACTTTTACTTCGGCCAGCATTTGGTTTTAATTTAAAAATTAAAAAAGAATAAAAGAGCAATCAGAATAACGTTCAAAGTACTGAGAAATCGTTTTTAAAGCAGCTGCTTAATTGCGAAATTGTGTCGGCTCCCGCTCCCGCTTCGGCCTAATGAAGTGCAAATGAAATCGTTAGCAAACGTTCGCTCATAACAAAATTAAAACAAAACGAATAATTTCTCTTCAATAATTATCAAAAAGAAACACTAAGGTAACTTTTAAAGTTTGTTTGGTGTCACCTGCCCGCCTCCGCTGCGCTTGCTTAGCTAAACAAATAAATCGTAGAAAAACTTCCTACCAGTTTAATTAAATTAATAATCAAGAATATTTTTGTGGCATCTACGTAAACAGAACTTATAACGAATAAGTAAACAAGAAAATGAGTTATTGATCAGCAACAACACTGGAACTTGTTGAACAATGATAGGATATAATTTAAAAGAAGCTTTCAGGCTTATTTGGAAACTGGGTCTTCCGTAGTATTTATAATTCACCGATACAGGCTCAGAAGTATGTCATAAAGTCCGTGAATTGTTTGTTCATTTTGAATATTCATTGGAATTTCGGAGACAATGGCGGAGTGGCACCGCGCCGGGTCAACAGTCTGCCCATAACGATAGCTATTTCATTTTGAAAAATATTTCACAATTTTTATTGCTAAAATGTTGACTATTAATTACATTTTTATATTTTCTCATTTATAATTCATTTCCATTTATCAATTCAAAAATCTTGTATTTCATAAAATATATGTGAATAGTGAATCTGGTGCGTGAAAAAAGACGTCTTTACTGTACAAGTGGAAATGTATACTTTCACGTAGAACTCCTTCTTTTCCCTAAAGTTGGAGCAACAGTTTGTTGTTAGTCGCTTCTCAAAGTTTGTCTTTCTCCGATACTTGTCCAAAAGTTTTCGCTCCTTCAAGAATAACAACTACAAAAGTAATGTATTTTAATGAAAAAGTACATATTTACTTATGTTAAAGTTTTGCTTTAAACAAAATTTAAACATCAGGTGGTGGAAGATAATAAAATTACGAAGAGACGTTTTAGAGGTTACATTTCGCGTTTACCTGTCGATTCTCCCCATTCTACTCGCAACGTGTGTTTAACGACGGACATTAAAACCGGCTCTTTACAGCCAAATTGCTTGTTTATTCAGCCAAATATGACACACTTGCAATCCGACCCAGCTACGCTTGTGAAGATAGACGAGCGAATATTAATCAAGTCAAATCAAATAAAATAGCATGTTTAGGTCGCTTGATGTACAAAGGACTTTCTAAATGCTAATAAATTTTATAATTCAATTAAGAAGTTTATGAATTTATTCAGAAATGTAATCCCATATTTCCTATTGTAATTCTAGTATCGATATAAAGTAAAGGACATTCTAGACTCTTGTCTAGTACCTAAGTTTTGTTCATCACGAGCAATTTGTCAATTATATTAAACATCAACTTATACGCGTTCTATCCGCTAATTACAGCAAGAGAAAAACGATCATTGTCTATTGAATTTTCGTCGAGCAGTAATTTCATGCAGCCGCTTAAGTTGGAAGTTTAAGAATCCGTTGCCGGCAGTTGGCAGTAGCGTCGGCGAGCAGCTCTGCCCGTGTCGCGCAGAGCATCGCATGCGAACATTCCACACCACAACAAGATTAATATCAAGTTTGACAAAGTTAAAGCGTACGGATGAATTTCAGAACTTAATGAATGTATTAAATTCATATACTATTTGTATCAAACATAATATGTTTCATTCACTAATTTCAGTAAAGTTAAATTATAAAAATTATCTTTCTACTTGTATAATACGTACCTTTTTTCTAGAAGAGAAACGTAGTACAAATTAAAAGAATCCTTAGGGGATAAATGAAAGGCTGGTATTCAATTTCAGTGGAACATCGCCTCTTTATTTATTTCCCACAACACAAATAAATTTTCATTAACAGACTTTTTACGACTGCGCAATTCTGGAGCCGAAAAAAAATTTAATTGGTCATGAGAATAATAAACAGTAAAAGTGTACATTTCTTTTGTTGTAAATAAGCACAGTTGTCTCCATATGCGAAGAACACAATTATGTATTTAAGTTTGAAATATTACGTACATTATGGCGCTAAGGATGTGAACATTCTGAATGTTTGAGGTTTTATTTTAAATGCAAGAAGTAATTTGTACAGGATAAAATTCCATTCATCAGTAAGTGGATACAACATAAAACGCAAACAGCGCACACCGCTGGCGGCGCGGTGTGGCGCGGTGTGGCTCGATGTAGTGCGGTGTGGGGCGGCGCGGTGTGGCTGCAGACGTTCATTAAGCCACTAAAATGGGAGCCGCTTTAGCAAGAAGTATTGCTGTATTTACATAAAC